GACCTGACCCCGACTTGACTCTGCCCAAGCAACTAAACAGCCTAGAAGCAGAGAAATTGGAAGAATCTCAGCCCGACCACCTCCAAAGAGTTGATCGAAGCCACAACCTTGAAACGCATTCTCGCTGGAAACACGCCGCTGCCCATTCGCCGGGGAACCGCCAGCCAAAACCCTCCTTGGCGACTAGGGGTCGAAAACCAAAAAGTTTTAAACCACCGTCTAACCCGAGAAAAGGAAGCCGCCATCCGACAAGCCTACGAAAATCGGCCGCACGACCCGGTGTTGTCCGCCGTCGAGATGGCCTGGAAAGGCCTTGCAGGAGAAGGCTCGCTGTTCGGCCGGAGGAGGTTCTTGGATTTGGGGCTTTTCTTCAAGGAGAGAAAGAAAATTTTATAAGGGTCTTTGTATGTGTATCATGTTCCTATATTAAGTTTCTATATCAAGTGTTTTAGGGCCAATGTCAAAAGTAGGATGGTGGCATTTTTGTAATAAAAATTAACAATCAATATCTGGCATAAAACACGTTGTCAGAATTGGATATAATAAATCATGTTGTACAACTATCTATATGGGGTAAAAAGGAGTCGAATATTGAATTTCATTTTTTTTTTTAATATGCATCAAAATAACTAGATATAGAAAGATAATTAATTAGACTTAAACTATGCACAATATTGATATCTAGTTTACAAGAATCCCTTCTTCGACAATCACCCCCAACCCTAGCTACGTTATAAATATAGTCTCCACTCGCCATTCTTCTCTATCCGCCTCATCACCCTCATTCCCAACCGCCTGCTGCCCGCCCTATCTTCACTTTTCGATGGTGCATGTTGGTACCCAATCTGGCACCACTATAAATAAGTTACATGTGGCATCACAATCATTAAACAAAAGTTTCTAAGTATCAAGATTATGACGAGATTAGTTAGATCCCAACAATTCATCCCACTCAGACTCAGATACAAACAGAACTTGGAGCATTCGACCTCTCTGAAGTAGAGGTCGGACTGTATACAAAACCAAAAAACAGAAAACCACATTCAAACGTAGTACCCATATCGTGATATGAGAAGAACGGTCCGATCTCCTGAAGGTCAGACTCTGACAGAACATTAAGTACAAACAACATGTGTCAGCGACCTCATGGACAAGGAATCAACTAACATGGGATCCACTGGGCGGTTCTGCACCGAATAATCATACCAGTAACATGCCAACCTCGAAGATCATGTTCGTGGGTTTCATAGTACAAATACTCATCAATAATTGTACAAAAAAAAAAAGAGATGGATTTTCTGAAATGCAACTTTTGCCATTATTCTACAATATTCTCAATCAAACTCTGAACATAAAATCTCAGGGTCCGAACCAGTGTCTTAAATACCGTACCGGTGGTCATACCGGTCTAGTAATATAGGTCAGACCGATAATATCGGTGGTATTACCGGACTAGGAAATATAATGATATATATAAATATACATAAAAATATATAATACCAAATGCAAAGAAGTAAAAAAAAAAAAATGACAATTATCATTAATTCAACTTCTCAATGAGATAAAAATACAACATTTTAACTACCAATTTAAATTTTATGTTTTTCAATTAATAAATTTTATTTTTTATTTTATTTTTTATTTTTTTATTATTGACCGGTATTTTGGACCGGTATTTTCCGGTATTTACGGTATGACCCCGATACAAATCGGTATTACCGTAAATCCGGTATTTTTTGTGCAATTGTATTGTACCAACGGCCGGTCTCCGGTATTACCGGCTGGTACGGTATGGTATTTAGAACATGGGTCCGAACTATTCATAGATAAAACACGAGAAAGTCCGACCTCGCTTAATTGAACTTCCCGCTTTATTTCATCTTGTTCAAGGCATATTTGCAGAGTTGATTCTATAATCATGTTATAATCCACACAAAACTCGACATTAAATTATCCTTAAACTTAGGAGATTTCCCTAACCCGTTGTTGCATAAATTGCATAACAACAGTTTGGCATGGAAGAAAGGCCCATCGTTTGTTTTGGAGCAATTTTTGACGTGAAACACCACATAAAGCTCAAATCATGTCATCACAGTCAAGCCAAGAAGCTGAATCTCAACCCCAAGAGGGTTAAGTAACCGTGTATCGAGCTCCATCGTGCTGAGCCATCGCGCGTGCAACCCCAGGTGACAGGACATTCGCGTACTACGGTTCTAGCACCTCCTTCTGTAATGCCTCGTTTAAATATAAGAGATAATACTCGGGCTTTTAGAAATCATTATGAATTTTAACACACCCTTAGACGTTACTCAAAATTTCTTTTCTTTCTAAACACGAGTCAGAATAAACTTTCTTTCTCAAAGAATTGAACACACAGTTGAAGATCTTTTCATAATCCAAAGATTCGAAATTAAACTAAAAAATAAACCAAGTCGAATAACTTAATGCGGAAACAAAACATTTGTTAAAAACAACTATGACCACCCTCGTCTCCTCATGACCGTCACCAGCTACTTAACCTAAAAATGTTAATGTATGGGGGTTAGCAAATACAAGCTCACCGTGGAAACTATGCAATATATTCATCATAATAATCGGTGAAATAACTTCATTATGAAATGACTCACAAAGAAATTCATTCACATTGATCAATCACATAGATCACAATCGTCTCAACCTTTCAACTTTTTAATCCATTAAATCGTCTCATGTCTACACACTTTTACCGTTAGCTCGCCTTCACATAGCCACAGGCGCTCAACAACAGAAGCTCACACTAGAGGTCCCATACAGTCATTACGTTGTGATGCAGGTGAAGGGGTTTTCATTTCCTTCACGGTGTTAATTGTACCGATATCGTAGATTTCCAGACTGAGACTTTTTTCCATTTGTTTTTAAAGAGCGAGGTTGCGAGGAGAGTGACAGGTAGTTTCTTTGTGCTCCTTAGTTTTTTCACACGGCACACACACTTTAGACACGTGGGCTTCCTTATTCCTTGTCTGATCCAGTGGTTCATTTGGACAGAAAGGAATAGTGCAACGTATAGAGATATTACTTTTATGAGCTCACACATTGTTTTGCAGGTTGATCAACATCTCTCTCTCCTCACAGCTCTGGCTAGACTCACACCTAGAGATTGGACAGGCTGCACGCCGCCACACCGCTTCGTACCACCTCCGCTACTACCTATCTAGCACCCACGCCGTAGAGCCGTTGTTTGGCTAAGACCTGACTCCCCTTGGGTTAAGCTAAACACTGACGAATCTTTCGACTGACTTACCTGAGCCACCAGAGGTGGGGGACTGATTAGGGATCACAGCTGAGCTCTCATTACCGCCTTCCATGCCTCTTTTTAGGCCTCCTCGAGCTACGACGTGGAGGTTCATGTGCTTAAGATCGGTCTTCAGATTGCAGCCTCTATCTCCTCTCACATTTGGATAGAGCTGCACACTGTCACTCTCGCTGCCCTCTTGACCTCAGGCCACTAGGGCTCATAGTAGATTCAGCAACCGTTCATGCGCATCAGATCCACACTTCAGACGGTTTGCTATCGGATGTCGCACATCTTCCGCGAGGGGAGCAACCTGTTGATTTCCATGCCAGCCTAGGTGTCTCCACCCAACTAAGGCGCCCCTTCCACCTGTATGATGCCCCTCCCCGCCTTCGTACTCTTGTGGAGATGGACCAGATGAGCAACCCTTCGTTTAGATTCTAGTAGTCGTCCTGTACTTTTGTATTTTTTTGCATCGACACTCTTTGTGGAGCTGACTGCTTGCTAAAAACCTATCAGCCCAGGCTCAGAATTTTCCTTTTCATTGTTTGTCTTTTTCCTTNATTTTTTGGTTGGACTTGTGTAGACCTGTAATTTTTTGCCCCATAAAGGGTCTTGACTATATATAGGTTGGGGATCTAGTCTTAAACTCTCCCCTGGGTGTTTTAAAAAAAAGTATGCCAGTGGGCCGAGCTCACTCCGCTCATACTCGAATGATATTAAACGCCACTTTATTAACATTGTTGAACTCTCCAATTAGCGCCCGAATTACAAATAATTCATTCCCGGTTAATCCCTCGGATTACCTCTCGATGTTTAAGATCTAACATCAGTCGATTAATTTAATAACTGAAAATTTAATTAATCGACATCTATATCTGAAATTAGTGCCACTCAGTTTATTCTTTATTATGCCGAAAACTAATTCCGCCTGCAGGGCTTGACATAATAAACCTTCCTGAGCTAATTTCTGGGACATCATCAACCCGACAGACTTGGACAACAGTGAACGTAAATAATCTCTATAGCACATCATGTACTTGGCCCTTACTTACCAAAATACCCAGTCTGTCAACATACCAAAATAAGCCTACCATTTAGTAAAACAAATAAGCATAAGCAGGTTTTAATACATATGCATGTGTGTATTATCTTACGGGTAAAGAGAATGCAACAATTACTGAGGTCCATATTATTTACTTGGTCAGTATAAAATAATCTTATCCTCCACAGGTTTGTCCAATACATCTGAGATGTACTAGTGTAATTCTTCAGTCAAAGACCAAATAATTTAAAATTACACTACATCCTTTCATGGCAGTTAGTTCACTTCTATATTGGATGTGAGCAATTAATTTATATTTTACAAGGTGCCGATAATATATATGATATTTCTTTTCAACATATCGAACCCTATTATCCAAAATGTAAAATAAAAGGAACTATGTTCGCATAAATAAATAAACTGCAAACGTGCACTTGACTAAAACATGATCTTTATTCAAAATTGTATTGTTAGAAACTGAGAGCCAATCTTTTACATTATACCCTTACATCAACATCATCATCTTCACAAGAATGACCTACTTGGTTCGAAAAATCACGTGTGTCATCCAACCCAGGGTCCACATTTGAATAAGTCGCGATTTGATCATCAACGGTCTGAGTAAATGAACTAGGCCCTGCGCCAGTATGTGTAAATGAAGTACGACGTGTTGGGTGAAAAGCGCTAGCATAGTTCATTTACGCCAGTAATGCACCAGAAAGAAGAAGAAGAAGAAGTAGAAGAAGAAGGAGAAGAAGAAGAAGAAGAAGAAGAAGAAGAAGAAGAAGAAGAATTAGAAGAAGAAGAAGAAAGAGAAGAAGCAGAAGAAGAAGAAGAAGAAGAAGAAGAAGAAGAAGAAGAAGAAAGAGAAGAAGCAGAAGAAGAAGAAGAAGAAGAAGAAGAAGAAGAAGAAGGAGAAGAAGAAGAAGAAGGAGAAGAAGGAGAAGAAGGAGAAGAAGGAGAAGAAGGAGAAGAAGGAGAAGGAGAAGGAGAAGAAAAAGAAAATGGGAACAAGTGATGAAAACAACTTTGCTTGTTTGGGTGAAAAAGAAATCAATTTTTTTGATCGGTTACTCGGTGAGAGAGAAATCAATTTGATTGTCTGGGTAGATGAAATTTTGAGAAGCTTTGATTACCTCGAATATAAGTTTACTTACCCCAATAAAGGTTAACTTACCTTTTTTATTCAATAAATTAATTACTCAAATGGATTTAAAATTTGAAAGTGAGAGAGTATCTTTTGTGGCATTAAATTGTTTATAGATTCGTAAATAAAGCCATAATATATACTTATATAATAAGAATTAACATTTATCAAAATTAGTAATTTAATTGCTGGTCAAAGTCAATTTTGCATTAATTACTTTCCAAAATCGGCGGTAACTCTTATGTCCATTTCACACGCAAGACAGCATTTATGTCCTTTTCACACGCCTTTAAAACTCATTAATTATACCAATTTAATTCTCATTAAATAATCCTATATCACACGCCTCATTAACAGCGTCCTTATCACATATTCTTTTATGGTAACGAAATAATCCCATTTCATACATCCTTATCACATATTCTTTTATGGTAACGAAATAATCTCATTTCATATGCCTTTTAAACATATTTTTTTAACGATAAATTGAAGAAACAACAATCCTATTATAAGGAGAAGATATTTGGGATAATTTTAAGATTAAAAAACAAAATCCGTATTGTAAGGAGAAATATTTCATACACCTTATCAATATTCAAAACTGATATTAAGTTTGTTATTCATTTCCTAAAACAAATACACGTGTTGAATTATTATCTNATATATATATATATATATATATATATATATATCTTGAATAAAATATTTGCTAGAGAACCGGTCAACACCAGTCGGTCAGACTTGTAGTAACGACACAATTTTTTAAACAAATTTTGTTACATTTAAAAATATTTTTAGTATAAGTACAAATACATATTTAAATAAAGTGGACATTTATAAATTTTTTATCATTTAGTTAAACATTAAAAATTTTAAATTGTTCATATATTTAAATAATTTTTTTAATAAATTTATTATAAAAAAATACTGTATATATATATATATATATATTAAAATATTAATAATTTAAATTCTGATGCAACTAATAAATCATTTAATAAATAACTTGATCGTTTGGAAAATGGTCCTCTCCTAAGAACTTTGAATTTACCGTACATTAATAAAGTTGTAATGCAACATCATTTTGTTCACATAAATATTAATAAAATAAAATATAATTGTTCATAATTCCTTGAACATGTTGTCACAAAAGCATTCTTAATATGATTATTTGGAGTATGAAATACATTACATTTATTTTAATAATGTATTTTTAATATTAAAAATTATATTTAGTTCAATAATCGATTCAGTCTGGTCAAACTGACCCATAACTTAGTCGCTCAGGATCAACCTCAGTTGTGTCATTGACCCATAACTCGATCACCCGGGATCAATTTAGTGTATATCTGCTCAATTTTTTAGAACATTCGATATCAGATGAGTATAGCATTCATTTATATAAGTGAATATAAATTTCCTATACTATATAGATCATTTGCACGGATGATTTATACCCATTTTGAGATTAGTAAAAAAAGCATTTGATATTTATTTGTTTATCAAATAAAGAATATCAATGTTATAGATATTTTAAGATTTGATATGCACATTGTTTATTATTTAAAGGATTTCAATGTATTGCCCGTTTACATATTTCAATGTATATCTGCTCAGGTTTTTATAACATTCGATATCAAATGAGTATAGCATTCATTTATATAAGTGATTATAAATTTCCTATACTATATAGATCATTTGCACCGATGATTTAAACCCAATTTTAGATTAGCCAAAAAAGCATTTGATATTTATTTGTTTATCAAATAAAGAATATCAATGCTATAGATACTTTAAGATTTGATATGCACACTGTTTATTAGCTAAAGGTTTCAGTGTATTTCCCGTTTTGACATATTTAATTATACATATTCATATTTAGAAATTTACATATTCAAAATCATATTTCAAAAGATTCCAAATTATTTAATTAAACCAGAAAGTCCGATTATATATTAATTACATAATTGAGAGTAATTATTAATTAAAAAATTCTTGAAAAGAATATTTCAATTCAATTTTCGATTAGCAAAATCAAACATAGCAAAATTGTATATAGAAATTAAATAAATAATATTTCTGTTAAAATCAGAGTTTTAAATAATTTCTTCATAAAAAGTGAGATTTAAAAAAATTATATATATTTTTCTTAATCAATAATGAATATTGATTTAAAAAACAAATTAAGAAAGACAAACATAAAATTAAATCTTTAAGCAATATAATGTGCCAGAATTCATTCTAAATAAAAATATCAGTCACAAATATATTTAAACTTCCAAAGCATATTTACTTTCAAAGGACATGCCAATAAAATAGAAAAATCACGATTTATCTCTAAAATAGATTTATTTACATACGTGAACTGTACAACAAATGCAAAATAGGAGAAAGCATTCTCAATATTCTATTTTTCTCTAGTTTTATAACATAATTAAGTTTTTTTCCAGTGTAAAGAATGTCAGCCTACCAATTTGGTGCACATAGCTAAAACCTAGAAATCTCGCCAAAAGCCCTTAATTGATTTTGGGAGATCAAACAAAAACAATCCAACTGATCGAACGCGATGAGCGTGTACATGAGCCGCCTCTTCCCGAGGTCCAACTCGAGCTTCTTCCTGCGCAGTGGGACCGCATTGGAGGCCAAAGTCGTGCGCCTCAGGGAGGATATGTACCTCCTGGACGCCGGCGTCGGCCGCCCGAGGATCGCCACGCAGAACGAGCTCGTACGGGCCCCTATATCCGACGGCCCGGCCACCTTCCCCAGCCAGGTCGGCTACCTCAACCCGTCAAACGCCGATCTGCCGGTGAAGAACGCCATCCTGCAGCGCTGCTTCGTCGATCTGGTTACCGGCGACTCGCGGACCAAGCAGCAGGCCGCCGCCCGGTTCGACGACATCGTCGGTCAGAACGGCGGCGGCGGTGGCGGCGACGAGCAGCCGCTCCTCCTGCCGCGTAGGTTCAGGAAGCACCGGGCGTGGATGGAGCTGAAGAAGCTGTGGAAGGCCAACGCCAAGGTCAAGGGTTTCGTGGCCGAGAAAGTGAGGGGAGGCTACACAGTTGGGATCGCGGGCTACCTTGCTTTTCTCCCTGGTCGGCAGATTCTGAATAGGAGGTTGGTGAATGATAGGTTCATCATCGAGAGCATTAGTCCCAAGAGTATTGTTGTTGCCAAAGGCGGGTAACTGCAATGAATTGTTTGATGCCAAAGGCGGGTAACTGCAATGAATTGTTTGATGCCAAAGGCGGGTAACTGCAATGAATTTTCCTCTGCTCTACTTGGTTATGCATTATAATAAGAAGTAAAAAATAAAAAAATAAAGGCCTTTTGGTTGTTTGGTTGTTAAATATTCATTTTTCTTCTGTAAATACAGTTTTGATTATTAGCTCTCTGCAGTATAGTAAAGGGATGATTCATGCTTTCTGGAGAATAAAAACGTGCTTGTTTGCACATTTGATCTTTTAATGTCTTCTAGAATGAATCTGATTTGGGCTTAAATTGATATGCTATCAATATTTGCCTGATGTTTGGGTCTATGATCTTTCGTAACATACCAGGCAGTTTCATTTGTCATAATCTTATTCTTATGTAGTTGAACAGAGTTAGGTTGCATGATCATTATCATAGTTTGACCAAGGAGATGCAATCATACTTCTTCAAGTGTGATTAAGTTTGGATGTGAATACTTAGGCCAGAATATTCCAATTCTTTCAATTTTGAAATTCCGTCGATGTATTTGTGTAAACCATTTTCATTTGGAACGCGACTTATTTTCATTTTCAACCTTTCTCTCAAACGAATAAAGGTTTCATGGTATTTTGATTTCCTAGAATCTATCAGACTTATTTTTCATATCTACCTCAAGTAATGTTTGAACAGAAGATCATGAACATATATAACTGATGATTTGGAACAAAATCCATATTCCTGAGATGTGGCTATCCCAATTGTACAATCATTTTTACACACAATCTCGTAATTCTTTTTTCTCAAATTTGGAGAAGCTGGAAATCTCAAGTTGAGATTGAATATCAAAACTGAACTGATACAACATATTCAAGCAAAGCATTCACCTTTTGGCAATGTCAAGAACCAGAGTTTGCTAGGACTTTTCACCAAATCAGGCTTGTATGTTTCTGGTACTTATATAAAACATAGTCCCAGTTTGAAATTTTTATAATTTTATAATCCTGCATTCATTCTCGTCACTTCCTACTTATATAGTATTTCGCCCGATAAATTCTCAGGAATTTTAAAGTGGAAACCAAGTGGGCCTGTTATGCATAATGTACTTATGAAAATATAAGTAATAAATTTTTCTGTCCATTGAGGGAGATGAGATATTAAGTCTTCAGGTATATCCATATTCCTTTGTAGTGGCTCGACAGTGTAGAGCTTAAACTCCTTGCTGGATTCATTGTTGCCCCTGAAATGGGCTGCATTATTCAAATACATATAGTTCAGATAATCATCTACAGACAGAAAAAGAGGATTTGCTTGAGAGGGAAGTTTGTTCAACTATGGAAGAGACCAAATACATACTTTAACTCTGCAATAAAAAAAGTTACAATTCTATCCAGACGATTTATTAATTAAATACCTGATAGGCTAATATATTTTGATAATACACGTTTGATGCTGAGGCATGAACTAGTGGAGTAAGAATGAGCAATCATTTCTGGTCTTATTTCTGTTTAATTTTTCAAAGTGTAAATTCCTTCTGTAGTTGTATTTATGTTCTTAGTTTAATTTTAATTTTCTGTTTCTGCTTTCTAATAATTTTGCCTTTTACTTTATTTCCTTTTAGTTGATGTTTCGAATTTTATGTTTTTTGTTCTACTTTTTTTATTGTGTTTGTGTTTCTAGTATTGTGTTTCTTCGGATTTTTCTAGCTACTTTTTTTTACTCTTTGGTGCCTTGTGTTTCCCAGGCCTCGCTATGGCCTAGCCTCTCGCCTCTCAGCCATTAAATAGGCTAATAGCCTCGGATTGCGATTGACCCTTGAAACTATGTTAACTATCCACACTTATTTTGCTGGTGTTCCTTTGTGTGTGACGAACACAAATAGTTTTCAAACACCCAAATGCATGTAAAGTTGAAAAGTGCGGAGTTGTTAAATTTATTTTTTTATGATAAATTGGTCCAGAAACAAGAATTTACGGAGGGTGATCGAGTTCTACTTTTCAATCAGCGACTAAAGTTGTTTCCCGGAAAAATCAAAGTTCTGTTGGTCTGGGCTGTTTGAAATCACAAATATGATGTCTAGGTGAGTTAGGAGCAAATGATGGTAGCACTTTTGTAGTGAATGCCCAACGAATCAAGCCGTATTTCTGACCGGAACAAATCAAGGCGATATTTGTCGTCTGCTTGAACAACTCGTATAATATGGAGACTTCGTCTAGACGTTAAATTTAGAGTGTTTGTTAGGAGGCAACATGATTCTCTTCGACATTAATGTATGTGCTTTTGATGTATTTAAATAAAAGAAAAAAAAATGAGTTAGGCGTCTCACAACTCGTGTGAGATATCTCACGAGTTATGTGAGGAGAGGATACAACGAGCCCCTGGACTCTATACTTTCACGCGAGTAATTGAATATGGATTATGTTTTTTCATATACAAACACACCCTTAACCTCTTCTTTTCCATATTTTTCTTCACTTATCTATTGCTTCTCCACATGAGTCGAGTCTCATGAAGTTCCTAGCATTTGAGTTCGATTTCTTGCTCACTTTTTCATCACATTCACTCTGAATTCACGATGTTTCACTTCCTAATCTCTTGGAAAGAGGATTGAACTAGAAAGTAGAGACTTCTTTTGTGTTGTAAAGGGGTATGGTTCAGTTTCAATTTTTTGTGAAAATTCTCGTGCACTAATGATTTTAATATTATATGAGGTGTGGATAGTGAATTATATGCATAACTGTTTCATTAGGTGTAAAGAGTGTGAGTTTCATTGAACACCTTGTGGGCATGTACGAATTGTATGAATTGCTTTCGTTTTCATGTTGAAACTTGTTCTTGTTGATACGTATGAGAAAGAGTGATACTTGGCTTAGGGCATATTTGTTATTTAGCTTACTTGCATCATATTCTTTACCTTGATGTGTGTGAATTTGTTGAAGTATAGCATATACTTTATAGGATTGAGATGGTTATGAATCTATGATGATATGGAGTTTGAATCTATATATATATATATATATATATATAGAGAGAGAGAGAGAAGGAATCATATGAGAATGGTAGATAATGGAAGAAATAAGAATGAATCTGTGCCACTGGATCTATCCTATCAATGGTTGTGATCAAGTAAAAAATGAGTCAATCATTAATGGCAATATGATAAATTAACATACATTGTGGTCAAATGTATACATTTGACCAATAATTAAGGGCAATATGGACTTTACACATTTACCACACATGAAAATGGGCCCCACACAGACAAATATTAAATATTGGTCAAATCTCTCTCTCTCTCTCTCTCTCTCTATCTCATCGTTCCTTTCTCTCTCCATCTCTGTATCTCTCTCGTTCTCAAATCTCTCCCTCCCGCACCGTCTCTCGCCCAACCTCACGACGGCGCCCCACTGTAGCAAAACAACTTTAGTCCACGCAGACGTCAGTCCCTCCTCGTCGTCACGACCTCCACCATGAAACTCAGCGCTGCCTTCGAACAAGCTTTTTCCGACGATTCCTCCGCCTCGGTTTGTCGTCGCCGGACTTCTCCATTACAGTAGCCATCACGTATAGTTTGATTCCTCCACCACTCGTCTCTACCCGATTTGTAAATACCTAGATTGTGCACCAACTGTAAACGCCTAATTTCATATTTCGATAAATCAATTTGAGGCTTGTGTTCGATTTCAATCCGTCTGGGACCGATTGATGGTCATCTACACGTTTCCAGTGGTTACCGGCGGACTGTTTGAGTGAAGATGGTGATGCTATTGTGGCCTGCGTGTAGGTGGTGAATGGTAATGTTGTTGTGGCCTGTGTATGTTTGAGATTGGGGGCATGGCATTTGGAAATTAGATAGCTTGTTTGCAAATTAAGAAGATTAAGTATATTGTCAATTATTATCGGTGTGAATTGCTGGTGATTTGGTCAGAAATTGAATTTTGTCTGATTGGGTGTGAATTGTTGGGTGATTTGGCCGGAAATTGAATTTTGTCTGATTGGGTGTGAATTGTTGGGTGATTTGGTCGGAAATTGTGTTGGGTTTTTTTGGTGTGAATTGATTTAGGGGTTAGTTTATGGACATTAGGTTAATGTTAGGGACTATTTTGCATTTTTTTAAATCTTTAATTATATCATAAATATATTAATGGATAAATATTTATACTAAATTATTAATAATTTTATGAATATAAAAATATTGTGAACGACTTTGATCGTAAATGTGCAGTGTAGCATACTTTAATCGAACGATGGTATTTTTATCGCAAACCAAATCAAAATCGAACACAAATGGTTGTTTTACTCGGTCAATTTTCCGATCTAACTGAAATAACTGAATTAAATTATTATGTATATTTACAATATTGTAGTCAGTGTTTTAAAATTGAAATTAAAAATAGATAATTATTCATAATATAAAATTTCGATTTAGTCAAGTCAATTTTGGTAGCTATGCTTCAAAAAAATACAAATATTTTTAATATGGTTTATTTTTTATTTCAGTTATTTAAATAAAAAAATGACATCATATATAAATACTTGATATATAAAATAATAACAATAATAATCGAACCAAAATATAAAATTTCGTACCGAATTTATGTTTGTTGTATCTCGTTCGATTTTGTACAATCCGATAGACATTTATGTGCAATCCGCATAACCCTAATGTTCACTCATAATACATAAAAAATTACATATAAAAAAATATTAGTTCTCATAAAAAAAATATAAATAAAAAAATATCGGTAATATTTTTCATATATTTCGGCATGTTTATCTATTTATTTTATTTAAAAAAAACTAAATTCGACATTTAACCAACTAATATTATTCGATCGATTATCATAATTTATTGATTAGCATAATTACTGTATTTCGGTATGTGCAGCGTGTTGTTTTTTAAGGTGCAACATGTTGTGCTATAAAGTGCGACGTATTGTAGTATAAAGTGCAATTTATTGCACATTAATAACCAATAGATTGCACATTAAAGTATTATGTAGATCCCTTTTTTTGAATTTATGTTGCCTAATATTTTGGTGGAAGCTGTTGACATTAATTGTGCAGTGTGGTAATAAAGTGCAACGTTTTGTTTTATAAAGTGCGATATGTTGTTTGATAAAGTGCAGCGTGATGATATATAAAGTGCACTACTTTATATGATCACAAATAAAATATTTATTTTTTAAAACTAAATTTAGTAGATATAATTGTAGATCGAATCAAGTCAAATAATTGAAATATATTATTATTACAAAAGTATATTTATTATTTTAATATTTTTACATATAAATAAATAGTGGAATATGACGGTCACTAATGTGCAATACATCTAATACTAATGTACACTTCAAGTGCAGCTATTTTTTAATGATTCGTCCCACACCAAATCAAAAGAAAACGAGGTAATCGATTTATAATGTAAAAATATATTTAATAATTTAATATTTTAGTTAACAAACTAAAATTTTAAAAGTAACAACAAATAATCGAACTAAAATATAAAATTCAAACCCAAAACTTTGTATGTCCGTTTTGACTGCTATAGTGCAATCTGGTAGTCACTGATGTGCAATTCGTCTAATACTAATGTGCACTCGAAGTGCAGCTATTTGTATAAAAATATATTTAGTATTCTAAAATTTTACTTAATATTTTTAGATTATTTTTCGTTGAAAAAATATGATATATACATATGTATAAAAGTATAAAAATATATATAAAAATATAATATTTTTTATATATTTTATATAAATTGCAAATTTTTCCTACGGGCTAAACTGAACTATATCAAAACTCTTGAAATTTTAGTTACATTATAGATTTAACCCTAAGAATTAAATTGTAATTTAGATATAATTATCATCAAAATCTACATTAAATTCTCAATCTCACTTCTTTCTTTTTTGGTACAAAATTCCCAATCTCACTTCGACTGCTCATCTCCTTCCCAAAAGCTTCGCCAGCCACAGAGCATCCGCCGACCTTCTCAGCCACGCGAAGACCTCGCCGGTCCGCCACATCCTCATGAATTTAATTTAGATTTTGTGTTCGTCAAATTTATGTTTGGTTTTGTATTAATCAAATTTGGCCGGTAACTTACTCTGCTTGCTGGAATTATTCAAGCTCATCGGCGTCGGTGAGTTCCTTCGTGGGCTGCCAAATTTCGGCCTCCAAACGCTCGAAGTCGGATGTGCTCGGCGGTGATTTGGATTGTAGAATTTCTGTTTTTGACGCGGATCTAACTAGAGGTGGAGGGCAGACGTCGGGTTGATTGGAGCAGTAATCAGAGTGTTGGAGGCGGCATACGGAGGTGGTCCAACAGCGGTGCAGCGGCGGTTCCGATGGTGGATGGCGAGCACCGGCGGGGGAGTCTCTGTGTGTCGTGAAGTGTGTGCGTGTGTCAGAATTTGTGTGTGTGTGAACTATGTTTGTGCGTGTCAATGTTGAGGAAGACGATGGCAGGCTGAAAGCGGCGGCGCCGGCGGTGGCTGGTGGCGGGGGACCGGCGGTGGTGTGCGTGTGTGCGGGACTGAAAGTGTGTGTACTGTGTGGGGTGCGTGTTACTGTGTGTACTGTGTGTGTGAGTAGTGTTTGTGCGTGGAAGACTATGTGAATGGGATATGGGGCCCACTTGACACATTTAATGATAAATTGTCTCTTATACCCTCAATGAGTATAAAAAATTGAGTTTATTAGGACCATTGGATGATCAGATTTTGTGGTCCAGATTTATTCTCATTTTTTTCATGAAGAACCATTCTCATGTGAGCGCGACCCTATAAATATATATATAATTGCTGACAAGTTTCAATAAATTTTATTCAACTAACAATTAAAATATGACTTTATTTAACAATAATATTTATGACTAACATTCAAACGACAGCTATACAAGTAAAACTTTATTATTATTAATTTTTTATTTTGTAACAACTTTACAAGATTTTAAATTTTCTGAATATGCGATATTAAATTATTTTACAACTAATATTTCTATTTTGTATATAGTTATACAATAACAAAAAAAATTGATTTATATGGAAGTTAAATAGTTTATATTTATATTATATATTTTCAAAATTTTAAAATGTAATACATACTTATTTAAGGTTTTAAACATCATATACATACATATAGTATATAAATTGTTTTGTTTCTCTCTGTGCATGTGCACATGATCGGACATGGTCACCGCAGTGGTTGCGGAGGGTTGAAGTCCGGCACCTGTTTCTCCCCTGTATCTACTCGCCTCCTGGTGTTGGAGTGGTAGATTCGACGGCGAGGTGGTCGATTGCTCGGTGATGGGCTGCCTCTGTCCGGTTTGGTGTTGGGGGATGTTTTGGGGTGGTACTCCTGGGGGGGGTGCTCCGAGTGGTGGTTCGGCTGGTTGTTCGCCGACCGTTCGGGGTCGCCGACGAGGCATTCTTTTGCCTCGTAGTTCGTTTCTCATAGAGGCGCCGATTAGAGGTGGGGTGTTTCCCGACGTAGTGGTGCCCTACTCCCGAAATTGGTCTCGCCGTGTTTCTGGCTGCTTGGATGGTGTGGAGGGCGACTGTTTATGCCAGCGGTTTTCGCAGCGTTTGGGGGAGCCTCTGGAGCTTCTTCGGGGTTGGATGCGGCCTCGTTCTTTCCTTTGAAGGTTCGGGGTGGAGGGTTCTGCCATTTACTGCCGTGACCCTCCTGTCTCTGGTGTTGGGCGGAGGTGTTCGACCGGCTAACTTGGGCCATGGGTCGTGTTCTCGAGTCTGGGCCCGGTTGGTTGGTTGGTTTGGGTGGTTTGTGGTGTGGATCTCCAGGGGTGGGTCTCGGTTATCTGTTGGGACATGGTTCAGGTCCGTTGGCGTCCGACCCAGTTAGGCGATTTGTTAGGCAGTTTCTGGTTTGGATTTCTGGGCCTTGCTTTGTCCGTTTGGATGGGTCCGTTAGCGTCATCGTTGATCTGACTTGTTTGGCTGTTGGCTGCGGAGGGGTGGTGTCGTTGTTTGTTTTTATTTTAGGGTGTTGGTTGTTGTGTTTGTGTGTAGGTTTGTGTTTTATTTTCTTTCTCTCCCGTTGGGAGTGTGTTTCGTGTATTCTCCTGTTGGGAGGTTTCTATTATTCTCCTGTTGGGAGCGTTAGTTGTTTAGTTTATTGTGATGTGGGTGAGTTAGCGTAGGTGCTTCTAGGCTACCTCCGAGTAGGCCTCCTGGATTCAGCTGTTGGCTGCTTGGCTATTCTAGCTGATTTTCTAGTTGTAATTATGTGGTTTTCGTCTTTATAAAATTTTTATCGTTTCGAAAAAAAAAAAAATCATTCATTACCAGCTACAT